TCAACGGAACACTGTTGTTAATCAAAGGGTAATACTTTGGATTATTAAATAAATTGTTCTTCCTGTAGAACTTCCTATTATTGTAACTTAAAAAGCAGGATAATTACTTTCCTCGAATTGAACCACTTACAGGAACCACAAAATTGCGCATACGCAGCGTGGAGGCGACAGTTGATGGGGGCCGAACAAACGATGCAGGTAACTCGACCATAATGACCGCAACGTGAAGCAAGTTCTGCAAATGGAGCCACTGCGCCCGATGAAATTGTCAACACGTCCGGGGCAATATCCCAAGCCGCTCGGAAGCCCCACAAACTATTCTCCATTCGGCCGGCCTGGTAAATATTTAAAGTGCAAACGAAAAGGGGTCAGAAGCGACCCCTGAGCCACGGCAATCAGCAATGATGACCCGCCCCTTTGCCACCTGGTGGCCAATGATAGTTTTATAGCCGGCTTGTTGTGGCCACTTTTGTTTGTTCTCCGTCGTTTTTATTTCACTTTAGTATCTTTGCTCTTTTTGCGATTCAACGTCAGTGGAGAGCGATTTACAAGTCTCTTAGCTTCTACAAAAATATCAAACGAAACATTATTTTTTAGATTAAACCATCTTTATTTTATTATATTTATACAGTACAAAGCATGTCCTCAAATGTTTTGAACTCATTTCTACAGCACACTTATCTTGTCCTTAATCCTGTTTCACTTTATTCAAATATCTGTTTTGCATACTCGTAAATATCTTTCCTTTAATTTTCATTTAAAATATTTTCTTTAATGGACTTTGTTAACTGCACATTTTATCAAAATAGATTTATTATAATCGTGCTCTAAGTTTCGCACTTAATTGGCTGGGCTAAATTAATATAATTATTGTTTTGTTTTTCAATCTTTTATTTGTTTTCTGACATTCCTTTCCCAACTTCCATACCACCACGTTTGCAGTCTCGTACACATTTCTTATATTTCTCTGTTAATTTGTTTTAGCCTAAGTTACAAAGGGACCTACCCACAAATCGGTTCAAGGGCCTATCTGGAAAGTCATTAACTAAATTGAAAAGCATATTAGAGGGGCGGCCAGGCGGTCGGATCCACCTATGTCTGTGTGTTCTGAATATTCCACCTGACTGAGAATTCAACAAAAGAGCCGAGAGCCAGAAGTTCGTTGAACCAACGAAAAGGGAAAAGCAAAGCAGCTGAAAATGTCATTGCAGGGCGCAGGAAAAACAAAAGGAGTGGGTGGGGTGGCCGGGCGGAGTGGGAGTTGGAGCTAGCCTAACTACCATTGCTAATAACAACCCGGAAAGGGAAGGGGAAGGGCGGGGGCACTTGGAGGCGAAGGCAACTGTCTGGACTGATGAGACATCGCACCCAATTCAGGCCCAATCAATCATGATTCGTTGGCATATCTATGGAAAGGGTCAAATTCTCCTTCAGGCAATCTGAGAAATTAGGCAAATTTCCAAAGAACATGTTGCTTTTACACACGAAAAAAATACCATCACAAACTGGTTATTTCAAGGTTTTGAAGAAGTTACAATACGTTATTCGTGTTTTAGGATATCAGTTTAGGGATGCATAGAACAACAATAATAGTCAAGTTTAAATTCTTTTATGTCAGTTTTTAATTTCCGTGTTTCTCTATCTCTCGGCCAAAAATGCAAAACATTTTCGGCTTGCATGTCAAAGAAGTATTGAAATGGCAACAAGAAAATGTTTTATAATTGATGCACGGCCATAACCAGGGCAACAAAAGCAACAAGAGCGCTGCATTTGTTGCCATAGGGAAAGTTACTCCACTGGGGAAGTCCCAGTCCCCATTTCACCTAGAACATTTCTGCTTTATGTCTCGTAAACAAACTCCACAAGCGGGAATCAAACTGAAAATTCGGGGGCGTTGCCTGGCAGTTCGCCCTAGCCACACTGGGGGCGTGGCCAGGAGTCGGGAGCACGGGAACATGACACGAACATGCAATTAAAGTCGAATTTATTTTTATACAAATAAATACGCACACATTCCGTATTTTATCTTTTCATAGCCATCTGAAAGCTTTCACCCACAGAATACAGAGATCCTCCAGGTGTCTCCAGGCACTCGGGTGCATGCACCTGGACAGACGCCTCTGAAGTGTGACTGGATGGTCAGACAGCCGGATGAATATATGCATTTCGTATACATGGGCGGCACCAGAAAAGGAAAAAATACTGAATGGAAAACCAAAGGAAAAGATTGCGTTTGGCGGGGAAAGGAGCAAGGAAGATGGCCACTTTGGTGATTCCTATTTAAAATTCAAATTTCGGAGGAGCTATCTTGCTACACAGAGTGTACACAAAGTAAAGAAGATTTCTTTGGGGGTAGAATGAAAAAGAAAGGTGAAACAGGTATCAAATAACATTGAAATAGAGAAGAAGATTGGAAATATGTTAGGGATTCTTGATAAAACGTTTCGATAAATTTGAAATCAATTTGGGGCTACCATGTCTTAGGTATAACTCTCATAATGGATTTTCGGTTAGTTGGAACTACTAAGGAAATATATACTAAGAACAAGAAAAGGAAAATTCCAATTCCGTAACATCGTATATGTGCGTGCTATTCATGGAATCGTCACAATCGTCGGCCATTATCGTTTCTGCTGTGAAACAAAGCACGAATAGCATAATATATGTGGCACACATGTCGGATACGTAATGAAGCAGGAGGCTTTTGTGCTCGTGTGTCTCCAGGCAGCAGGTGCAGTTCCAAATGTTAACGCCAAGTGCCATCAAATTAAACATTTCCACACAGATACACACACAGAAGCGAACACCCACAACGTCACACAAACAAACGCACACAAATACGGAGCCACAGAAGCGCCCTCAAAAGTATGCAGCGTGTTTTGCTTGCGGAAATAAACGAGGAAAATAAGAAAGGCGAGAAAATTGTTGCTCCAGCTGTCGGTGCAGCAAAGTCTGCATTGAAAATCCATTTATAGTCGTTGCATTATGTTATTTTCAGTCATTTACCAGGCGTCTGTCGCTTGTCACTGCAAACGAACTGAACTCGAACTGAGTCGGAGCACCCTGCAAAAATGCTTGTCAGTCTTCCGGAAGTCGCGTCTTTCTAGACACGGGCTCAATGACATTCCCTCTGGCTGCCTCCTTTCCACCGTATCCACCTGTTCATGTATCCATGGGTGTCCCCATCCCCGAGAGGCACTGTATTTGCAGTCAAGTCGCGTTGATTTGCCGTGTGTTACAAAGAATGGGGTCTCTATAATTAACTTGCCATTTATTTTGGCCTCAATCCGCCGACAGGGTGACCGAAATACAAACAAAGTGCACTGCGAAGTTAAATTAACTAATTGGTATACCAGCGAATAAAAAGAGAATAATTTGTAAACTATATTATATTATGCCAGCCAGTTTGAACCAAACTTTATGAAAAAAAAACAAAATTGCAATATGCCAGAAGTAAAACTAACTTAATACCCCTGATTTTATTTAGGATTATGTCATCACAAGCTATAAGGATGACACTTTGAAGAGGATAAGTAGAAAGTTAACTCTGTTTTAAGTAGAATGTTGGCGGAAAACTTTTCCAACTTTGAAAACAAATTTATCATGGTTTAAAGTTAATGGGTAGTAGTCTGAAGTTCGGTGGTTAAGTATAGAGTAATTATTTGAAACTTTAAGGGCCGTATTGTTCGAAACTTCGGGTGACCTTTTCTTTTTTGATTAATAGTACAAAAGTATTTGAAAGTATGGCGTGCACACTGCCCCAGAATATATTTGCAACTTATTTACAACTGTTTAAGTAGTTTGACCTGTAAATTAAATGGATTTTGGTAAGTTTCCAGCTTATTTGCTCCCATTTCTTTCATTTCAAACATTTATACATATTGAAAACGGAAGATGTATTTTTAGAAGCCAATTGATAACCCATCCCATGAATAAGCACATTAAAACCGAGAGTATGGATTCAGTGATTGAGGTTAACATAAATTGATTTGGAATGGCCACTAAAAGAAAAACTAATCACACTCCGCCCCGAGCAACTCGACGGCCACTTCCTGTGCTCAAAGCGATTCTCTTTCCAGCAACCCATCCACCTGACACTGTTGCCACTCCTCACATCCCCACCTGCTCCTCACCGGTTAAAAATGGACTCTTCCTGCTGTCAGTTTCAATAACACGAATCGCCGACTGTCTGGGGGGGGTGATAAAGACCACCGCCACCTGGTACCCGGAGTGTCATGTGCGTAGTCGTTATGGCTGTCTATCCATATACCTATCACTGCCTTTTAGCCCCGATAGCTGTCCCACTGACAACTGAGCAGGATGAGCACATGAACTCAATCCCATCCAATCCCGCTTTGACGCATTTCCATTTCTACGTTTTCCAGACCTTGTTTTCCTGACTTGTGCCGCCTTAATTATTCAGCTCGGCATATTTAATGGACCCAGAGACAGTCGTCAGAATCAAGTTTAGAGCCCCTGACAATTGCCATCGGCAGTTGGCTGGGTTTTCCCCGGCACTTGAATTTAAATCGAATGAAAACATTTGCGTAACTATTTGGCAACATGCTGCAGTTGTGTCCTCGCTCCTTTTCCCTCTTTTTTTCTGGCTGCCAGATACACGGCCACACGGATTCAGATACAGATACAGCGAAGCTTCAGCTGCAGATACAATACGTAATCACCCGACGCCTTCGCTCGCACATTTTCCAAAATGAAAATCAATACCATCCAAGGGGTGGGTGTGGAAAAAAGTGAGTAAACTCTAGGGGGTAGACCACCCAACTCCAACTCTTCGGCACATGCTGTTGCATATTTTATCAATTCAACTGCAAAGTCATTCAAAGGATGCCAAAGACTTGTTTAGTTTGGAGGAAAAACAGTGGATGCAGTTAGGGACTGACTATGTTTTCCGGATGGAAATAGAAAATGCAAGGAATGTCGATGGCAATGTGGATTAAGTATAAAAGACGATTTAGAGAATAGAAACCAATAAGATCGTATTAAGATAAATGTTATGTCATTTATGCAGCTGTTAAAATTTAATAAATAAAAATAAACACCAATATTTTCTTAGTTTTATGTCTTATGTCAAGATTAGGAACTTAAGTAAATACTTGAAAAGATTAAGAAGAACAGAAAGTGCTTTTGGAATTCTTCCAATAATCTAAGTTTATGATAGAGAGATACCATATGAGTTATTCGTCTTTAACAACTAATTAAACTTATTAAGTAGTTCATAAATCAAACAGTTTTTAAGGAGTAATAAAACTAATAACTTGGCTTCTTTATAGCAAAAATTCCAATCTTTCCTATTACCTCTCCACACCAGACTCAGACTCTTAATAAATCAAATATGCAATCCACAGACTCAAACAAAGGAGCCCCGACCAAAAGCGGTAATTAAGTTTGGCCATGAAACCGCATCGCATCAAAGGCAATTTCCTTTCCTTCTGGCCCTGACAGCTCACCACCCAGTTCCAACCCCACTCCTACTCCTCGTGCTTAATTGATTTCAGTTATGACTTTCGATGCTTATTTGCGGATTAATTGATTTCCGGAATCCAACAGAACTGCCTGGGATGCGGGGAATACTAAGGCTAAGGCTATAGCTAAGTCTAACCTAGGGACCAAACAGAAACCATCAAGGACACTCGATTCTAGGTGCTGCTCGAGTTGGAGCTGAGGCTCTGCAGGGAGCTGTTGGAGGCGGTCTTCCTCAGCGTTTCCCCTGCCAAGCTGCACAGATTCTGGACGAGAAGCGCCGAGGAGTTCCCAGAGTTGCGGTTAAGCAGCGGCGAGGACGTGGCTTTGGCCGGATTGGAGTTCGAGTTGGCTAGGTTTTGGTGGTGGAGGTGCCTCAGAGGCTGCGGCGAGGTTGGATTCGAGAGGCCGGACTCGTGGATGGGCGACAGAGTGGGCGATCGTGTCCGCAGGAAGTGCTTCCGCCTCTGCCGGCGGTAGACATTCCCCAAACTGGGCAGCGTCCGGCTGTTCGTCTGGCTGTTGTGCTGATTGTGCTGCAAGTTGCTGGCAAATCCCAGGGTCTCGGCCAGCTCCGCCAGCTCCTGGCTGGTCTGGTTCATTTTCCTCCTCGTCGGCGGCGGCAGGGCAGGCGGCAGGGTCAGCGTATAGGTGGTCACGCTGTCGTCCCTTATCACGGATGTGGGCAGCAGCATCAGCTCCTTGCTATTGCCGCACGAGGGACTCGTGCTGGTGCTCAGTTCGCTGCTCTCCAGGGAACTCCTGCTCGGCGAACTGGCCGGCGGTGTGGGCGTGGCCGTGGAGTTGGCATAGCCCCGCCCAGCCGCCTGCAGTTGCAGCGGGCGAATCTGATTCTGCTTGATGGCAGAACCACCGTGATTCTGGTGCTCCTTGGCCGCGATTCCATGATGGGCCCCATGGCGACAGCGTGGTCTTCGATAGCGCCCCAGCAATCGCAGCATGTGACGAAGTCGGGAGCTCCTAGGCGGCGTGGGAGTGGCCGTTGTCGTAGTCTTCAGCGGCAGCTCCTGTTCCAGGCCGCCGTTTAGGGTGCGGATGAACTGTATGGGCAGCTCCTGGGCATTCAGTTTGGCCGCTGCTGCTGCCTCCTCGCGTTCGCGGAACGTAAGAGCAGCTAGGAGATCGTTGGGCACATCGGGGCTATCCGGAACTGAGGCGCAGCAATTCCATTTCCTCCTCCAACGCTGATGCTTCGAGATGTTCCCAGCTGCGGTAGCTGAGGAGGAGGAGCCCCCGGTTTGGCTGGTCAGGGTGCGGGTGCTACTACTGCCACCGGCGCTGCTCGCGGCTTCCGAGGATCCCCTTCTCAGTCGGAAGGTGCAGAGGGTGCACTGCTCGGTGTACTGCAGATAGGTCGCCGGTCTCTGTGGACGTGGTTCGGCCGAGACTAGCGATCCTTTGGCCAAGCTGACCCTGCGCTGCAAGGAACTGGCCGCAAAGCTGGAGCAGCAATGGAAGCTACTGAGCGTGTCCTGCTCCACCTGAATCTGCGGCACAGTCTCCTCCAGCAGCGAGCACACATAGACAGCTTGCCTACTCTGGTGAAACTCCCTGGAGCTGGCACAGCAGTGCAAGCGCAGGGATTGCTCTGTTTGCCCCACCGCCTCCTGTGACTGCTGGCTGGGATGAGGGGCACTGGAGCAGCAGTACAGCTGCTGGCCACCTGGCATCGACTTGGACGGATTGTGTGGTTCGGGCAAGGAGGCCGAAAAGTGTACGCCCCCATTTTTGGCAACACCCACGCTGGAAGCTCCCTCCAGGAGCTGCTTGGTCTTGGCCTCCTGTGCCTGCCGATGGTTCCTGATGTACTCGTAGGTGGTCAGTCCCAAAAACGAGATGTAGATGTGGAAGAAGCACAGGTGCAGCAGCAGTCCCGCACTCACGGCGGCGAGCAGGCCCAGAACGCCCAGGAGAAACAGGAAGATGGTCTCGTTGAGTCCAATCCCGCCCAAAACAGGCTGCGTGACAGTATGATTGGAGAGGCTCGTCCCAGACTGTGTGGTGCTAGCCTCTATCAGGGCTGTAAAGTTTTCCAGGAGGGTGGGCAGTGTGGAGATGGTAATGTTGGCCAGTTCCTCGTCCAGGAACTCCTGACGATCTTCCTCCTCCACCGCCGGCTGCTGCTCTAGCAGCATCATGGTGCCGTTGCCCAGGCTCAGGGTGAGGTTTATGTAGTCGCCGCCCTCCATGGGGTGGCTCGTGTCCATGGGACACCAGTAGAAGCTCAGCCACTCTGGCTGGACGTAGTAGAAGACGATCTGGGCCACCACGGCGGCCACGATGACCAGGGTGGCCACCACCGCGCTGACCACGCACATCAGGAAGGCCACATAGTTCCGCGACCCGATGCAGTGGTTCAGCCACTTGCAGTGGTGATCGAACTTGCCCACGCACTTGTTGCACACGGAGCAGTGCTTGGTGCGGCTGGAGGATGTGCGGATGTTGCACAGATGGCAGCGCCCGTTCTCGATCACGTGGCTGTGCTTCGTCCGGTCGAATTCTGGGACGATCCGGTCGTTGCGATGCACCCGCCGCAGTTCTTTGTCCGCCGGATCCGTCAGCAGGGCCGACAAATGGGAGGCGATGTGCACCAGGTAGAGGCCCGTGATCAAACCGTACAGTGGGCCCTGAATGCGGGCATGAAAGGCCGGAATGAGCACCCAGTAGCTGGCCACTCCGAACAGGAGGAGCACCAGCCAGCCAAAAAGCTGAAGAGGATGCAGTGGCAGCTGCAGTCCGTGGAGGCGTCTTCCCTTCCGATGCTGGACATCGGCGATGTTGTTCTGGTAGCTCACCAGCTGGGATAGCCGCCACAAGGGCTGGTTCCTTCTCCTCGTTTCACTCTGGTCACCGGAGGTGATGGTCTCTAGTGGATCTCCGCTTCCCGAGGACTTTGGCTTACTGACCGGAGTGGCGACTCCCTTCACGGGCTCCTCGATGAAGGTCTCCGTCAGGCTGGCAGTGGTGATGGTTATGATGTGGTCCGTATCCGTCCTGACTCCGTTGGCTCCTTTGGGTCCCGGCTTTAGACCAGCTGCTGTTGTGGACATCGTGTCGTTGGGTCTGGAGATGGCTCGGATGATGAGGATGATGATGATGTGTGAGTGATGAAAGGTCCTGCTTGGCAGCTGTACATTACATTCGATGCTAAGCCACGCCCTCGACGGATGATGCAATCCAGTGGAGGCCTATCCTCGTTCATATAATTCCCAAGCGGTTTTTCAGCATGTTTCGATGGTTTAAAGTTCGACTTGGGATTACAAAAGATTACAGAGCTGGCTGTAGTTTTAACGAGTTTTCAAAGTGGTTTTCTTTTTCGTTATAACTATTTTTCACTTTCTACCACAATGTTAAATTTCAAATGCTAAATTTTGCTTATTTGCTTTCAATATGGTTGGGTTACTTGTAAATAATATCCTTTGAAAATTGATTTGATTTGGTGTTTAACTTTTATGTCATTTTATCTCAAGAGTCCAGTGTAATATTAATGTCCTGTTTTATGATTTTGTCCTTTTTCACTTTGTCTGGCTTTTATTGTTACAGTCTTTTATTGGCTTTCTCTTTTACGGTACCGAACTTGTATTGTTATTCACCAACTCCTTTTACACTTTTGTTTGTTTTTCAAACGATTTTGTTGTTGATTTTGTGCTCTCTCTCTCTGGCACTCACACACACAATTTAATTGTTTTGCCTTTGATATTTTCTATTTGTTGTTGCTATTTCTGAATGGCGCAGTTAACGGTTCATACGTGAATGTATTTTGTTTTTCGCGTTTACTCTCAAGTCCTTGCTGTGGTTGTTGTTTTTGTTGGTGTAACTGTGAGGGGGTGGTTACACTGGCAGCGGGCGCAGAAAAGCAGGATGGTCGCCACCCCCTTTTTTTCGGAATTTCTGCTCTATGATTTTCCTGTTCGCTTTGCTATTTGTTTGACTCCCACACATATGTACAAAGAGACAGGCGAGCACACACACAGATACACAAGGCACAGGGTTCCCGAGTTAAAATAACAGTAAAACGGGCGATGCGATGGCGTTCGCGTTTACCGTAACTGGAGCGCTTCAAATCGCACAACCGACTCCTTCAACCGACGCGACCAAACGAACCAACTCCACGCAGAGTAACCAACTTGCAAGCTCACGGCGCTCAATTGAAGCGAACCGTGCTGCAACACTGGGAAAAATATTACCTTTCTATTAAAAGCAAAAGTTTAGTTTCACTAAATGTATGTGAACATTTTTTATACCTTCAAAATTTAAGATGCGAGTCCTTAAAGTCTCCTAAGTTTAATGCTTACGACAAGTTTATTTGTTTGTTTTTCTGAGTGCAGCTCATGTTCGACAAGGTTTGACAACCCTTCCGAGTTCTTAAAGCATCCAAATACCAATTATTACTGTTGTTAAACCACACAAGCGTACAGATGAATAAAATGTAAATTAGAGGTAGATCTTAAAGGATCCCTGTTTAGTTATTTTTTTATTTCGGATATTTACAAAATACATTTAAAAAATGTTCCCCACCTAAAACATTATTTCGCTTACACCATTGTAACCTAAGAAACTATATCGGTGAGCACTGGTGTTCCAAACACAAGTTCCCTCTCTTGGTTCGAAGTCGCTCTCAAACGCCAAATGAGAAAGTGCGAGAGAAAGCCTCTCCCGTTGAAAGTGATTCGATGAGTTGCTTCAACTGATTGAAGGCTGAAAGCTTCCCAATAAAAAGTGGCCGCTTGTCAATTCAATTTTTGGTGGTAACAAGCCAGATGAGAGTGAAAGAGAGAGTTAAAGACAGCTGTGTGCGGTTTTGCCGGTGCCTTTAGCCAGATGAAGAGAGTAAGGGGGATTTAAATCAGTGGCTTTTTTCGCAGAGGGGTTTTGAGTTTACTTAATTTTACACTATTTATTCCTCAACTTGCATAGGAATTTTCTATTTATATTTCCAAACATACCTATTACATTTTATCGTCCAGACTACTAAATGGAACATACGTACGCCGCTAATGGAAATTGAGGGGGGTGTCGCACACCCTCCAACTAAATCGTTGAATGTTTTCGGTGGCAGTTTTGGGGGTGGTTCAGCATGGGAGATATGTATGTTCGTGATCGGTTAAGTAGGAGTTACCAATGTTATTCAATCTAAGAAAAACACTACAAACATCGGTTAACGAACTTGTAAATATGAAAGATTTAAGATTTTAAGATCAATTTGTATATTTTTTTTTTAATAATTATATAGATTGAACTTGCATTAAAAAAGCGGACTGTTCTTGCAATTAAGTCTCTATAAAGTCGAAGATACATTTCTACAAGTATAGCTGGAGCCCAAAAAGGTATGCTACTTTTTTATTCCCAAAGGATTATTGGCTTGTTAGCCCGACGACTCACGATGCCATCCCTCAGGTCTCATATTAAAGCAGGAAGTAACTATTATATAACGTTAAATGGGACAGGAGAGCTCGAAAGGCCGATGGAGATTGGCACGCACCTTTCGTTCTCCCCCACAGTTTTCCTTTTTTTGGGATACCAGCATCATTCTTTATTTATGCCATCGACAGAGGGGTCGGGAAGTAAAAAGGGGCGCCATAGGTGTTAGATGAAATGGAAAGCACACTCGAGAGAATATTTGGAGCACGTGCTGCAGCGAGTACATTTCAGCACTTGATGTGATTTTATTTACATGGAAGATACACGATAGTGGGCGAGACTGGGTGGACTTTTCCAAGGAAAAACCCATGCAGACATGCCGTCGCCTGACCGAACGATTGGTAAATATTTATGCTCGAGATGCCCGTAATCTAGAGATGTTCAAAGACGGGAAACGAGGTCATCCCCACAGAAAGCGGGTGGAACATAAGCTGAGTCGGAGACAGCGAAGAATGGATACGGATAGTCGTCCGAGGATTTATGTAAGCCCCAGACAAACGGCCGGGAATCTGCTAGAGCACATCTAATGATGCGGGCTGCGATCCCGGTTTTGCCTCGTAAAATCGAAACGCAAATTACCAAAACAAACACCAAAATTGTGCGTTCGGGATATCATTGAAGAGCCAAAGTTTGCTTATTTTGCATACGATAAATAGACGAAATTAAAGGTATCGCTTGACAGCTGCCATTAAACCGTGGGATTGAGTTCAGTTCAAAAATTGATTTAACTTTATACTTTATAGCTTAATGAGTAAGTAAATATTGTTTTATTATTAAACCATCGTATTAAAAAAAACGCGATAATTTGTTAAATAAATTTCAGAAAGATATATTTTAACATCACAAAAATAAAAGGGTTTTTAAAACCAAGTCTCACAAGTCTCGCGGTTTGTAAACAACTCAATTTCACATTTTATTCAATTTTGCTGGAAAATTTATTGAGTTTTCTTGGGTTTCCGGTTCAGTGTTATTGCCTCTTGGCAACGATAACAAAACAGAACAGGACCCCTACCCTCCACCCAACACAAGGATACACCGGTAACAAGAAAAGCTTTGATAAGCAACCTAAGCACTTTCATTGAACCGTGGGAATTTTTCCCCTTCCCATTAACAAGATGTTTACCAATTTTAAGAGCTTTTTCTTAAAGCCTTGAAAAAAGGAAACAATAATATAAAAGTAGGCAGGTTACTTACTTTTAAAATTTGATAACCCATTGGAGTTAGTTTTCAAAAAACGCTCAGAGAATAAATGTTAGTTGAACACACGAATAAATTAGGGTACAGTAAATTAAGAGCGACAAGATGATCGATATTTTGTCGCTGCCGCGCCGGAATAAGGTGTCCGGGAACCCGGCCCTGTTGAAGATGATTTCCTTCAAGACCGGGCTGCCTATCAACAGTCTGCCCGGATGGGAGCTGATCCCCCTCAACTGCAAACTGCCTATGCTTAAGTGTCCCGGGAACCAGGTCATATTCTCTAAGAACAAGATCGGACAGGATGTAAGTGGAACTTCCAGTAATTGTTTATGCACCTATAATTTGGTAGGCTTCAAGCAAAGATTTTACTAATACAAACATACATACATTTTTCACTTTAAGCACCAATCATTTTCTATATGACCATGCATTTGTATATAACCTGCATTTTACTCTAGTTCAAGAGTGGTAAGCAGGAGTTCGAGAGCTCTGTTACCGAGCACATCCCCGAGTACAATCCACTGCACGACTCCAATCTGAAGACCTTCTACTCCAACGAACGTAACCTAAAACGTTTGCGGGAAAACGGCGAGATTACGCAGGACAACGATGTGATATGTAATCTGAAGGACTTCAACCAGCACCGTCAGGAACTGCACAAATCGCAGCTGTACTATATCCTACAGGCATACAAGCGACGCGAGTCGGAGCAATACGATCGGATGCTGATAGCGAATGCCGAGTCGATCACGAAGAAGGACCACCAGAATTTGGCAGCTCGGCACCAGTGCACCGAGGAGGTTATTGCCAGGAAGCAGCTGCAGGAGCAGGAACGCCACGAGAGGAAGGTCCACCTGCTGAACATTACGTACGATAAGTTCAAGCGGTTGGAGAACCTGGCCACCATGCAGAACATGTTGCTAGAGCACCGCAAGATGCTCACGAATATGAGAGTGGCCGCCCACATAAGCATGTGTCAGGATCTGATGCGGAAGCTGTTGATCAAGCAGAAGAAGCTCTTCCAGTTCAAAAAGGATCGGTTTAACAAGAACATGCGGATCCTGAGGAAACAGAGGCTGGTGAAAAACACAGAGCACCAGATTCAGTCGTGGAAAAAGAGGTTGGATGAGCGGATTGCCAATCAGCGTAGGATCAACTACCTTTTACAGGAGGTGGAAAAGGAGCGCGAGTCATTTATAGAGAGGCACAAGGCTCTTTACCGAGAAAAGTGGCAGCGGATTCAGGACGAGATTAAGGAGAGAGCTCACAAGGCCGCCGCTGCTCGCCAGCCGAAGAGAAAGCGTCGCAAGAAGAAGAAGTCCACTCTTCAGGAGAGAAAACCATCCTTCTGCGATGAGTACCAGGCCACCTTCGAGGGTTTATTGGACAGTGAGCTCTGCTACGCTCTGAATGCAGCCATTGCTATGGAGGGTCAGACGGCTCTCACCTTCGCCCCAGATGACCCCATCTATAAGGCTGCGCAATACATTCTCGACTACATTATATCTGGCTTAAACGACGATCTCAGCGAGGACGAGTGCGCCCTGCAGGTGCTGGTCTCCCGCATCAAGGACTTCGTTTGCGATGCCAAGAAATATGTGCACTATGTAAGTGGTTGATTGTAGTGATCCTTGACGAACTGCTCATTCTCTCCGATTGCAGAAAGCTTATCAGATCATCGGCTTCGCCAGGGACCACAAGGCCATGGAGGTGCCGCCGTCGGTGGCGAAGCCGCCAAAGAACCACTCGCGCGCCTCCCACGTCTCCTTCAGCGGCGTGGCCAGCACCATTGGCGTGGGCAGCTACGAGATTCATCCGTTCGTGGACATCCGTCCGTGTGGCGAGCGACGGGCCACCCCGGCGGGATCTCTGGCCTCGCTGGTAGTCAGCCAGATCGGGGAGCAGGTGATCCAGGACAAGGTACGCCTGCCACACCTGAATCGCAACCAGATCGTGTTTATAGAGCACTACCTTGTGAAGTTCAAGCGGGACCTGCTGGTGGGCCTGGACAAGCTGGTCTTTGCCGCCATTCAGTGTCACTTCGAGAACCGCATGATGGAGGTGCGCGAGGAGCTGCTGCTGCTGGACAGGAACTACCTGTTCGACCAGGTTGCCAGAGGCATCCTCAGCTATGCGGTTAACCCGCTCAACTACCAGTCAGTGCTGAAGCTGGCCGTGAGCGTTCTGTCCTGCGAGATCATTTGGGAGCTGCAGCAGACGCTGCTCAGGCCGGGCGTCGATCCCCGTGGCCAGAACCACCCCGTCTCCTGCGGCACCGAGATGGAACGTGAGGCTCTGGCCTTGTGCATACCCTAGGATCCTGACACGCCGATGGGGGAAGGAGCAGGGGCTGTCCCAGACGAATTTCCTATCTCTTGCGCAAAATAATTCGTATAAATTGCATGTGTAAGCTGGGGTTTCAGGCACTTTTTTCACAGTCCACGTAGTCTGTACTAAATTTATGTGCCAAGTTTTCATTCGATTTCGTTGCAAATGCTTGTGGTTATAAATGGTTGTTGTCTGTGTT